GTAGCTAAAATACAATAAGCTAATAACAGAGCGTCATCTGACAAAACTACAATAATACGATCAATATAATAATTATCGATTGATGTTTCGATGGCCTCCTCGTGGTGTTCCCTGGATACCGATTATATTAATAATAATCGGAAACTAATTCGAGCGGCGACTTTTACGATTTAGGATACATTTTTAAATTTATTTGTTTTAATAAATGCCCCTTTGTGAACATAGCATCATGTAAACATAGCGCCCGACTGCAACGTTCTTACTTGTTTTGTTTGAGGTTCTCAATTCATATAACCGCCTCACATCCCGAGCTTAGTAATAAAAAGTAAATGTAAACAGTAATTAGTATGAAGTAAAGTGGAAAGAAGCGTACCCCACTGCACAAATCGCAGTGATCGGCAGTGCATCCGTGCCTTTCGTGGTGAAAGTTCAAAGAGCCGACGCTATAGTGAGTTGCTCTGACGGACCAGACGAAAGGAACAAAATGTACAAAGGAACAGCATATGGTCAATTTAAAAGAGGTTTTTCGGCGACTTAGAGCGGCTAACCTCAAGGTCAATAGGAAGTAGTGCAATTTCTTCCGGGAAAAGTTAGCTTACCTAGGTCATGTTATAAGTGGAGAGGGACTGGCACAGCGGTATTGTTGACCAGGCATGATCCGAAGCGCTTCGAAGTAATGCATAAGTTCAAGGGCGAGCAACGAAAGCCAGCCGGGCAGACGCTCACGAGGCAAGTGTCGAAACCGATGGCAGTGTTGTGCGCTAACTTCGTGGGCTTCTTGCCTAGGTAGAAACGGGAAAACACGATGCTCTTAGTGTTTCATGATGCATTCGCCAAATTGGTGGCCACTCAAGAGGGCCACCGCTACTCTGCTGCAAGGGGCTTTCCAGGAGCGAATATTGAGCAAGTACGGTGTACCCAAAATATTCGCCGAAAGAAAACCCTACGGAAAGGAAGACTTGTCCAACGCAGCGGAGGATCCGCGGGCTGAACCGGCCGCCACGCCAGGAGCAGATGAGGACGAGGCCCGATTGCTGACTGACATGTCCGACATCTTGGATAGCTGGGATGCCAATTTTGTGGCACCGGTAATCCATCCTACCGGCACTACACTCACCGAAGGGATAATCCAGGCGATACAGCGGGAGATGGGATAGCGGCAACAGCCACGCAGGAAGAGCGTCACATTCAACGGTCGCGGTTTCAGAGAGAGTGGTCATCTCTCTGATAAGGCTGTAAGGCGGCTCATTGAATAGCACATGCCTGAGCTTATTAATATATAGTACGTTTACTACTACTACTGAAGTAAATATCAATGAAGTAAAGTCGCAAGAAGCAGGTGAGCGTCGACCGACAGCGCGCGCGTAAGAACTTAGAAAATAAGAACGAAAGTTGAAATAAAAGCGTATATTTGAAGTTGAATACGCTAGTAGTGTGTTTTTTTTTTTTTGCAGTAACATTCTAACATCTTACGAAGTTATTCCTCTCCCTTCCTCCCGATTAGACGGCCGTGGTGTATCCCGGCTAACAGTAATATTAGGATGTAATAATAGAGAACGTGGATGCCCCTGTTTACTGGATGGAGAAATTACGCCAGTGTGGAGAGTGGTTACATCGCCATCCACCACCACCAACACCACCAACATCCCCCACCCCCCACCCACCCCCCTCAAATTTTAAAACTCCGTAAAACTATTAACAAGACCATGAGAGCTGCCTTAGAAACAAACTTATTTTAATATTCTTGGATTTTTACAATATTTTGAAATTCACATACCTCGTATTATCTTTCGGCTTTGATTTTGAAATATCAGGAAAATCCTTTCCTCCAAATAGATGCCATGTAAATGTCATTTCACATAATGTATAGCTGTGCTCAGGAATTGGAAAATTAGGAGGAGGGCTTAGAATATCATTTTTTTCGCTGGGTAGACTAAAATGATTGTCAACTATTTGTAGAGGTCCATCAGAAACGTATATCTGGTCAACACCAAAATTATCCTTCAAAATAAATTAAGAAATAAAAATATTTATATATCGTATATTTATTGTACAAAATTAATTTAATTTAATTTATATATATATATATTAAATTATAAAAATTAAATGTGCCATTTTAATTTTTATGTTTTTATTTGAAACAAATAAATTACTTCACTCTCAGAACAAGTTAATCAATAAATACCATACGCTCATATTTCAATCATGTTACGCTTATTATAAGCCTAAGCCTAAGCCCATCAAAAAAGATCATATTTCTTGTATTATATAAATGGTTAACTTACCATGAACAAAAGGTCCTCGTTGTGAATTATGTGGAACTCTTTTTCCTCTAAAGTCGGCGCAACATTTAATAAATTAGCTCCAAGATCGGCGTTGACAAAGGAGTTTTCAGTTGTGTCATATTTATAAAATGATTGTGATTCCGAGCCAAACATTTTATCAAATGATATTGGTTTACTTTGTAGACTCTCATTTTCGACATTAAGGATTTCATCAAATTTTTCAAAGGGTTGAGGCACGGAAAAAGTTTCCACATCCTTAACTGCGTCTGCCATAAGTGTATTTATTTGATTTACCGTTTTATCATTAGCATGGTCATCATTTCTAACTGGTGTTATATCAGTTTTTTTTAAATTAGTTGCGTTATCCATACTTGTTTTTAAGTCTTTATCATTGGCAATATATGCTATAAGTTGTGCTAATGCCTCCGCTCCGTCATAACAAGTTTTTAAATGAATATCATGTATTGATGATCTCAAATCAATAGAAGGGTATAACTTATTGTGCTCATTAAGGTGTAAAGAAAAGTTTAATAGTCCAACATTTAAAACTGGTATTAAGCCCGATTTGCTAATATGAGTAATGAACTCCTGAACATCGTTTTCAGCCTTATCCTAAAAAAATCAAACAAAAGTAACTAAATTTAAAAAATTATGATACGAAAAATTATTTGTGCTTATATAAAAACATTTTGTGATTACATTTTAAGATAAAAGCTTAATTGACTTAAAATCTAAAACTTAAAAAATATTAAATTATGTTCTTTTATATAGTGATAGATTTTTTTTCACCTATTACACATATTTTCGCAACTTGCTTCAGAGCTTCCACCTAAATTTAGGCAAAAATGTTCTAAGCATTCTTAGAAATTACTTGACAATTATATTCCCTCTTTTAATTTGATTGAAAAAATCTAAGTAGCTCGACTATCGATGGTGACGATAGTACCATCGATAGTTTGGCACCTCTAGTTTCAGTCGGCCGTTAACGAAATACTCATTTAATATACGAACGCAACCAGATCCATTTTTGAAAGCAATGAAGGATGCGAACACCAATTTAATTTAATTTTTACGATCCCAAAAAGAGGCATCCAGTAACTTAACTGTCAAATTGTAAAGTTGCGAGCTATCATGATAGAGTTTTTGCGGCTTGCGACGCTTCGATGGGTGTATATATATCGTGGTCTTGGATTTTCAAACCGAGTATATATTCCAAAGCTTGATATACACTATATATTTATTTATTTATTTATTTCTTAAAACTATTGTGACAAAAACGGGAGTAAATTTAAACTGCTCGACTAAGAGATACCCTGAACCCTCCAGTCTCATATTACAATCACTCTGCACCTATTTTAGGCACACATACATACACACGCACGTATTAGAACGTGCTCTGCTAACTGTGCAGATTGCGCTTGGTTTGCGTTGCAGTGCGGGCAATATCAAACGAATTTATTTGTTGAATAATATAATTTCTAGACGTCCAA